ACAACAACAACAACAACAACATCGAGGGGCAGCTGGGGGATGGAGTCTCACGCCAGAGACGAAGTGAAGGGACCGGTGCTGCACATCGTGGTGGTTGGATTTCACCACAAAAAGGGCTGTCAGGTAACTCCTGTGAGGTTTAACATCTGTGGCGGGGAGCAGAAACCCTGAATTAATGCTATAAATACTACTAATACTACTAATACTACTAATAATACTAAGAGTGGCTGACATGCATTGAGGAGAGAGGTTGTAGTTGATCAGCTGTTGTGGCTCTGAGGCTCACAGGGTTATATAACAATGTGCTCTGCTGCCAACTTCAACTTACAGCTGTTACATTTTCTATTTGCAGTGTTTATCTTTTGCATGATGAACTCTCTGCTGTTGATCTGTCTTGTCAAAAATGGAGCTGATTTATCTGTTTATTTTGGGAGTGACTGCTGCTGCTTGAAGTGTTTAATTTCTCTCAAGAAAAGCTGCAACACAAATGGAAGTTTGAGGCATTCGCTGACGTTTCTGCAGACATTTGTGTGTGTGTGTGTGATTTCTCCTCAACTTTCCGCTGTGAACAGAGATATTGAGAGATAAAGCTAAACAGTTTCATAGAATAGCGTTGCGTAACTGTGATGCAGCTCGTCTGCACAGGAAAAAGACAACATTTACTCCATTTTATGATGTTATCAGAAGGGCTGGGTGTCGTTTGAGGTTTCTGAGGTTCAGTACATCCCTTAAGTTAAGTTCTTGTTTTGATGATTGGTCACTTAATGGCAAACATTTTGTCTCTGTTTTGTATCTGTGTGTTTTGGACAAAGCAACACATACAAATATGTGGGAGACTGCGTCGGGCAGTTTTTGCTGTTTACTGTCGATTTCTTAGACTTAACGATTCATTTATTAATCAGTTAAATGAGAAAATAATCTCCCCTTGCAACAGAAATCTCAATCTCAGTGAGGCTTCCTCAACTTTCCCAACCTTTCCAACCCCAAACTTTTTGGGAAATACTGACTACAAGTTCAAACAATGAATGATTCTTCCTTCTCAGACTGTTTTATTTCAAAGATTTGTGTCTTAAGCATCTTGCGACATCTGTAAGGGTGATGTAACTGGTGAAAATAGTAATAATAATGATAATAATTGTGTAATAAGGTACACTGTTATACTGTGAGCCAGCTACAGATACACACAGTACACAAGAAGAATGAAAAGTACTGTAAACATTTAAATACTATAACAAATGTTTCTACTTTTGCAGATACATACCTGAGTTTTGCTACAAATACTGTAAAAAAAACCTGCTAGATTTCTTAATTTAAGGGCATTTTAATGTTTTTTTCAACAAAACCTAGTCTATAAAGTTAAAAAAACATTATGTAACTCACAAATTGTCTGAAGAAAATGTATTTATTGTGATTAAACAAAGAAATCTGAGACAATATCTGCCGTCACAGCACAATGAAATGATGACTTTTGTTCAACAGTTGTGTTTCTTCCTTTGTACCATTTTTCTCCACAAAGCCTTTTTTTTAATTTATTTTTCAACTCGCAGACAAATCTCACATTCTGCTTCAAACCTGTTTTGCAAAGATGAACATTTCGCCACTCACACGTTGGCCTTTTGCGCCTCTTGCATGACTAAAAGCAGCGTTTAACACCTGCCAATCAGTGAAAGTGCATGTGTGGCATTCGACCTTAAGTGCCTCTAATGCATCTTTTAATTAACGCCTGCCTCTTCTTCTTCAAAATTCAATTCATTCATTAAATTTACAGGCCGTAAATCCTGAACGTGCCATGCCTCCTCGCTGTCGCTGCTCTCCATCTGCCCTAAAAGATGAAGGCACCGTCTTCCTGTGTCCTGTTTATCTCGACTCAGTGGCCCCGCCAGCAGCTGCTGTTCGAGCCCAAAGATAAAAAAAGACATTTTCGGATGTAAAAACGAGGCTGACGAAGCAGACAGGCCACTCTCTTTGTTTCAGGCCTGTTGCCTCTGGTGGTGGTGGTGGAGGTTATCTGATAGGGGTCAGCGATCTCCTGCCGGGTATCAGATTGAGTTCCTGGCTCTTTAATCCGTCTTCTCTTACACTCTGAATGCCTCTCTCTCGACCCACTCCACCTCCACCTTTTATTCACCTGCCACCCATCTGTGCTTTCTGGCGGGAAGCTTATTGAAGAGACATGTGGCGTGTTTTTATGAAGAGCATCACTTCTCCAGAGTCTGTAGTAGCGCTTCGCCCTGAGGGAGTGCTGCACTCTGGGAGTTTATCCTGAAAGAATGAATCATTACTGCTGCTGGGTGTGTGTGTGTGTGGCGTTCAGGACCAGCAGGTTTCAGGTTAATCTTGTTGGGAGCCATATGTACATTTAGCTTCCCAATCATGCAAAACAGGTTGTGTAACTTTTAGTTTGTGATGGGAAAGTTACTTAAATTTTAGAAATGGCCAAATTATGTGTCAACTATGCAAATATTGGAGGAAATTAATCGTAGTTTGCCCAGTTTATTGTAAAGATTATTGTATTTGTTGGCAGTGCAGCCTCAGCCACTTTGGTCCGGACTGATTATCTCCACAACTATTGGATGGATTTCCATGAAACTTACTACAGATATTCCTGATGCCCTGAGCATTAATCCTTCACTTTACCGCAGTAAATCAGGCTGACATGTTCTTTGTGTTAAGAGCTGATTGTTAGCATGCTAACACACCAAACTAAGATGGTTATCATTGTAAACATAGCTGCTGAACATGTGAGCATGTAGATTACATCCTGTGTGCCCTGAGATATTCTGTGGATAAAGGTTTCAGATACTGTGTGTAATTAGTGTGGAATGCTTTTAAGTACCAAAAGTTTCTTTCTGGATTTCTTACCAGTTTTAAATGTTGAATATTTCCTTTATTACCTTATATATTTGACATATAGGAACAAATCGCATTCTTTAAAGCAACATGCAAGAGCCCCCACAAATAAGACAAAGAAATGATAAGATGATAAAATAATTATAAAGATAAGAAATAAAGAACAAAAAGAGTAGACAACTGCTTTAATGGTGGGAAGAGAAGAAACCTATCGTCCATTCAGATGATGAAACACTCGTCCATATTGAGAGTTCAGGGAGGATTACAGTCTGTAGATCCTCTAACCTTGCAGGAGGAAACCGGTGGAGGAAACACTCACAGGATTAAGAATTAAAAGTTCAGGAAAAGTTGCTGACTGTCTTTCCCCTCCACCATCAGGTTGAATTCTCCTACCCGCCGCTGATGCCAGATGAGGGCCATGACAGCAACCTGCTGCCAGAAGAGTGGAAGTACCTCCCTTTCCTGGCTCTGCCGGACGGGGCGCACAACTACCAGGAAGGTACGTCACGCCTGCAGAGTTTATAGATCTAAAGGTCCGGTGTTTAACATTTATAGGGAGGATTCTATTGCAGAAATGGAATATAATATTCATAGGTATGCTTTTATTAGTCTATAAGCACCTGAAAATAAGAATTGTTGTGTGTTTGTTACCTTAGAATGAGACGTTTCTATCTATAGATAATGGAGCCCAGAAGGGACAAACCAAACACTCACTCTAGATAGGGCATTTCGCATTTTGCAGAGGAAATGGTGGTGCTTTTTTGCCCTGATTAATGTCTCTACGCTAACTCAAAGGCCGCAGACCGACTTGAGCCCTGTGTGAACAAACGAAGCCATCTCGCAAGCCGCTGTGTTGACCAATCACATACATGCCAGCGCACATCCCTGGTAGATTAAGTGATCTCCATATTTCTGCTGCAAACCTTGGGAAAAAGAGGAAAGATTGTTTTTCAAACTGTTGTTCAGTGTCTTTGGCAACTGATACCCCTTTTAAAATGCATAAATATGGACTTCCTGGATCATATTTCACTGTCATCGGTACCTTTTTAAAGGTGTGTAGGATGAAGTTATAGATTGCAAACCATTTGAATACAGCTGAGCCATACAAGCATGTAGGAGAAACTCCAAAAAGGCACAAAAAAAGATTATCTAGAGCATGAGATTGTCACTTCTGGGCGGTTGAACATGGCTTTGAGCACACAGTAATAATTGCCCTTTTTTATGGCGTCTATTTAAAGGTTTTATGCATCTATTTGGTGTTGAACTGTCACTTTGAGTCCATTGTTGAGTTTTTAAACATGGAAAATTAAGTGTTTTTTAGATCCTTTTATGGCAGCTGTCAGTAAACAGATGATATGATACTGTTTGACTTCAGCTCTGTTTTTTTTGTAAAAGCAGGTGTCGCTTTTGAACAGATAAACCGACTGTAAAGAGAGGGCAGGACTCTGTTGTCCCTGCAGTGAGAGCGAGCCAACTCTGCCTTCTTGGCAAACTGTCCCGTGTGTTGTGTCTGCCGTCATGTGACAGTCCTGTGGCTCACCACTACTGCTCATCCTGTCCCGCGAAGGCAAATAGGAACTGAGTCAAAGTTCACATGTAGACCTTCAACTAAAACTACACCAGTGTTTCTGTCTGGTCCGCTCTGACTAGGGAATCAGCCTGAAGGAAGGAGAATACATGAGGGGAAATCTTTGCTTTTAAACAACCCTCAAGCTCAATATCAGCCCCTCAGGATGCCTCTCTTACCCAGCTTTTGTTGTCAGTTTTCACATCTCTAAATTGAAGATGTGAATCGATCCCCGCCGCATATTCCTGCATCTTTTGTGTCCTTTGTTTCTGTTGCTCCAGTGTGTGTCGCTGCCACAGCAGGCTGTTAGCTGATTGGGGGGGGGGGGGGGAGAAAAAACAAACCTATTGATGTGACCGACTCCCTCCCTCTGCACTGCGGCTCATAAACAGCAGTCACACTGATATGACTGGGTGTTGGTTAAAGAGGAAGACACTGCAGGAAATACTACTAAAGATTAACAGAATCATCACATGAGTACACACACCTTATATTAAATAAGACTGTTTCTTTTTAAGGGCTCTTTGTAGCTGCTAAAAGCATATATTTTCGTTGTTTTGACCCGTCCCATCTTCCTGCATCTTTCATTAAAAAGACAAATGTGGAAGTCTGTTTCTTGACTTTGCTCTAAAGCAGCTTTGGAGCCATTTTAGTCTCCCAATTTGCTTCTCTGCTGTTATTTTACCTGCTATTAGAGGAGGTAAAGCTGGACTAAAGCTGTTTTTCTTATGTTTATGTCATCTAAAATGTCAAACCTTGACTTTACTGGCTTATATCTGTGCAGAGTTTGTCACAAAAGAGGGGTTTTCACATCTCTCTACTGAAAGGGGAGACGTCTGTATGCTTCCCTAAAATCTGAGATCCAAACCTGGAAGGATACTTGGGGGGGGACACTGGGGAAATTCACTCGCTACAGCAGCTCCAGATACAACACAGCAGATAAGGAAAATACACATTAAATAGAAAAATACAAGATATAATGAAAATAAATTTAAAAGCCAATCACTATCTCGCAAATGTCACCTCCAAAGAAACCTGTTTTTGGATGTTAACCGAACCATAGAGCTTCCTTCCACTACCTAATAACCATCTGAACACACTGTAACATCGTAACAGATATTACATGTTTCACAACCACTGCCGGGTATTTTCTCTTCTCCCATCTTTGATGATAATCTCGCAATCTCGGGAACCACCGGACTAAAACTAAAACCTAGAAGCAAAGCCATGTCTGCGGATCTTAGATGTTTCAGTCTCATTTCCCTTCTGCAGGCTCTTCTTCGTATCTCATGCATCTTTTTTAGAAAGCAGCTTTCAGAAAGCTGAAATAACTCCTTCTCTAGAAAAGGGAATTTAAACTGTAAGGCAGAGCATAATGCAGCTGTGGCTCTGTCCAGATGCCCTGTTGCTGCCCAGCCTGAACCCCGCCTCCCCTCCCGGCTCTGGTTAATCTCTGACGTCTGCAGTCTAACCTTTGTGACTCTGCTGTCGTCTCATCCAGAGGAAGATCTTAACCACATTATTAAACGCTCTTCATCCTCCCCTCAGATGGAATGAGTGCCGGCAGTTGTGGCATTTCCTTCACTGCTAACTTTGTTGTTCTTCTGTTAGAGGAGCTTGAGGCAGTCTGTGATGAGAAATAATCACCTCCGTTTTCCAACACTGGTACAAATTGCACACAAACACAGATGTGCTCCACGCAGCAGCACTGACAGTGAGCGCCCGTTCAGCTCTCAGGGCAGAGAGGTTTATCTCTGTAGTTTTGTAGTGCAATATCCAAAATGTGAGAGTCAGAACAGTATTTCATTCATGAGGAAATAAAATCCTGAAGACAAACAATAAACAAACCTTGCTAAAAGCTGCAAGAAGGTGTCTCAAATGTCTTTGAATGCACCAAAACGAATCAGTTTAGAAGACAAACCCAACTTAAAACAACATGACTGATGAAGTGGACTAACAACTTATTTTTCATTATGGATTTATCTGATTGTTTTCTCCATAATTAAAAGATTGTTTGGTTTGTAAAAATAGTGAGAAATACCGTCACAATTACCCAGAACCCAAAGCGACACCTTCACAAGGCATGGCATTTTTATTCAAGCAGCACCTTTAAAATTATTACTTACTTAATTACTTTTTTACTTAAATTATTATCAAAATAGTTGCCTATTAATTTGATTGATCAGCTAATTGTTTCAGCTGTGCTTCTGTACACTGTTGGGTAGTTTTAATCTATAACAAAAGATCATATTTTGTTTGTAAAAATAGCTGTCAGATATTCTTTGTGAATTAAAAAGTACAATAATTCTGAGATGTAGTTGAGTAGAAGTAGAAAGTTGCATCAGAAAGACAAGAGAGGGCCTCAGATGTGTACATAAGTATATTAACTTGAGTAATTGCACTCTGTAGTTGTAGTTAAACATGCAGAACAACTCGTTTGGTTCTCTAACTGAAGATAATCGGCTGGTTGACAGGTTGGAAATAAGCCAGGAATGAAAAGCTTGTCAATTTGGTCAAGTTTATCCAGTTTGGCAGCGAGTAGACGGCGGTTTTAAAGCCCTGCTGTAAAATAACCACTGAAACGTCTCTCCTCAGCTGCTCTCTCCTTTTGTACCTTCTCTTTTATATAACCACCATCCCGTCTCTGAACTTACTGTCAGGTTGCTGAAGCTTATTCTGCAGTGTGAGTGCAGTTTAAATCCTGCACAAACTGTACTCACACACACACACACAATGTATCTTATCTAACTGGCTGCTGAATTTCATGAAGGAGTATTTTGCAGATCCATATATGAAAGAATGCATTTTAATATGACCCCTCTTCTTGTTTTGTAGACACTGTATATTTTCACCTGCCGCCGCTAAGTGGAGACATGAAGTGTGTCTACGGAGTTTCCTGTTATCGCCAAATAGAAGCAAAGGTGAGTTGAATATAGTTTTTATTAACGCCGGAGCATTGATTTTATTGTCTAACTCAGAAAATAACTCTTATATGTTTACTGTATGGCCAAAAGTATGTAGACAACAGTGGCGGGAGCTCAGATCTTTTAAATTAAATAAAAGAAGCAATAGTACAGTGTACACAAAACACCACTGCTCTCTTCTTTGTGTGTGTTCTTGATTTGATTTGAAGCAAACAGAGCAAATAAAACGAGGTCGGCTGCAGAGCGATAAGCCACACAGCGGCCTCACAACGTTTGGTTTGTGGCCTTTTATATGTATTTACGTTTGAATGTTTTTAATCCCTCTTCAGGCCCTAAAGGTCCGACAGGCTGACGTCACCAGGGAGACCGTTCAGAAGAGCGTCTGCGTCCTCTGTCGAGTGGTGAGTCAGCCATTATCTTACAGCACATTAGAGTAAGATTTCACTGTCTGTAGCTTATAAGAGTTATATATGAAATAATGCAGTGACCTTATGATAGCAGGAAAGGCTTTTAAATTAATCAGCGTCTGTAAGGACTTTTTATTTTCCGCCATATTCTCCTCTAATGTTCAAGAGTGAATCCAGTGAGGTTCCAAAGTGTCCGTCTCCTCTCATACGAAGTGATAAAAGAGTCGACATGATGGCTCCCAGAAGTAAAATTCTCTTTCATGTGTCCCCACAGAGATTTAAGTGACTTGCAGTCAACGTTTTAATGCTGTGAGGTAGATTTACATTGGCGCTGCAGGCTCTGAAACAATTACATGATGCTGAATGAGCCAGGAGATATTCTGAGCTGAACTTCAGAGGAGAAATCATGTTTTATTCCAAAGTTTTTTGGTGAAATCCTGCACCGTCCACAGGTTTATAGTCTGTTAGCCGGCCAATAGAGCCAAACCCCCTTTGATGTTTTATCTTAGAGATGTACAGTTGCAAACTTGCAATATGTTAATTGCATCGTTAACATTAATAAGCATCATCATGGATTGTGAATCAATTTCTGTGAAGTACAAAATAACCATTAAGAGCGGAAGAGGTGACATTTGAACTCCCAGTGGGCTGATTTGGATTCATTTTGAGGTTATTTATATCCTTAATAGATGCAATAGAGCTCAGTGTTATTGGTGGGAATGTATAGACGTAATATTTCTTCAAATTTCTTCAGTTCTGCTTTTTGTTTTTTGCTGCGCAGCATTTTGCCAGTAACCTTGTCTTTACTGCTGCAGTTATGCATTAAGCATATAAATATCCTCAAATTCAGCCCACTGGGAGTTGAATATTTATATGCTTAATAAAAAGACACACAGCAAAAACAAACAGATATGAAAATATAATCCATATAGGTGATTATGCTCATTAATACTAATCATGCTAATTATGTAAATTGACCAACATATGCAAGTTAGCATCTGGCAGTTTCTGAATGCTGGGGAACTTATTTATACTTATTTAAACGTATTAATAGTTTTTTTTATGCTTTTGCTGCTGTGAACCTGAGACACTTCATCATGAGCCCTGCATCATTAAACAATGAGGAATAAAACTTAAGTTAAATGTGTCTTTACTAGCCCTACAGGTCAATTATATGGCCGTGTGTGTGAAGCAAGTGCTCCTGAAAAACGATTTCTTAGAAAGAGTGGGAACTTTGCATGAAGCAAATGTCCTTTTCTGTGAAGGAAACCTGGGATATAATAGCTACTTAAAGCCAGCCACCATCCACTCCACACTGTTCCTAAGAGAAGTTAAATGAGCACAATACTAAAAACAACAGAGTTCGTCATGTTTGGCCATTTCCTGGTAAAAAGAGGATAAAAATGTTGTATTGGAAAGAAAACAGGAGGCATGATTGAGTTGCTTGTCCCTGTGAGGAGAAACTGGCTCACAGTGTGTTTTTTTTATGGGTCATGCTGTAAATGACTCAGGCATTATTAACACACACAATATGATCGGCTGCCGACGGTGTTTGTTTTGATTTTCAGCCTCTCTATGGTCTGCTTCAAGCAAAGCTACAGCTCATCACGCACGCCTACTTCGAGGAGAAAGACTTTTCACAGATCTCCATTTTAGAGGTGAGAAAGTGTCTGTTTGTTAATTGATATTTTTTTCTGTTATCATTATTAAATAAACCTCCTCCCACCTCCGACCCTGCAGGAACTGTACGACCACATGAACGGATCTCTGAGGGGTTCGGCTCTGGATGGATCACAGGTTTATCTCGGTAGGTCGAGAACACGTGTTCTTCTTCTCGTTCCCACAGCTGAATGTTTGAGCTTCACTGTGCAGATTGATGTATGTGCAGAGGTTGACACTAGAAGGCTGTACTCACATTTATCTGCTGAAAGCGGAAAGTTTCTCTGCTGCTCACTGGAAAAACTGATTTGAAAGGCATGATTTGTAACATCACAAACAGTTAGGAAGCCAGTCCCTGTCCATTAGGGAACTTATAATTATGTGTGACTATTATGTGTGAAATTTACAGTGAAGTAGGAGACATCTTGTGCCCAGCAGGAAAGCTTTAGAAATGAACACAATTTGCATATTCATAGATTTAGATCTAGTATAACTTCTTTACACCACATCTCAGTCGTCTGTAAAGGGGTAAAGTGACTGAACAGCAATTAAAAAACAGTGCGTTTGCTCCAGAGAGATGCAGATATTCTTTAAACAGATAAATAGAACATATTTGTGGTTATTTGTCTTGTCAGGCCTGTGACCATGTGACAAAACTGTTCATGCATTTGTATCTGAGGGCAAATTCCTCATTTGTTGATGTTCTGCTTGTTTTCTTCCCTCAGGGTTATCACCAAGAGATTTAATACTGCACTTTCGACACAAGGTGGGAAATTAAAGATTGATCAATATTGTTTCTACCGGTTGCGTAACAGAAGTTGTTATGTAAGTAATTCTTTTCATTGTATTCATTTTACCTTCGCAGGTTCTCATCCTCTTCAAGCTTATTCTGCTGGAGAAGAAGGTACGACTAACAAAGAAAGCTTTTCTCCTCTCTTAGCAAGTCAGAAGGTTTGATAAATTACCCTGAATGTCTGTTTTGATTTTTGTGTTTCTTATGTTTGCAGGTCCTGTTCTATGTGTCTCCTGTCAACAGGCTGGTTGGAGCTCTGATGACAGTCTTATCACTGTTTCCAGGTCAGCAACTCCTCGAGAAAGAAACAAAACACAGTTTTCTCCTCTTGCACTTCAAATTAGGCCTCATGTTTAGTATGGAAATATGTTGTTATAACATGTTCACTGCATCAGCATAATCAAATAATCCCATAAACACCATCCAAAATCTTTATGTAACATTTTGGTAAAAGGGGAAAACATTTAAAGCAAGATAAATGAAAACAGGAGCACGGTAGTAAAGTGTAACCCAACCAGAGAAAAATTATTGAATTAGCAATTACAGTTACACAGAAAGATGAAAAGCGAACATTAGCTGCTATTAACAGAACATGTAAGACTGCAGGAGCAAATCCTGAGAGTATTAAACTGAGCAAGGGTTTGTGTTATTGCTTATGAATTTAACTTCTCATTTTTTTAAAGGAGGAGCATGTTATTTCTTCCTAAAACATCCGGAAATGAATTAATTATAGAAACCCTGCAAGCTGACAAACAGAAAACTAGCAGACAGCAAAAGGCAGATGGATTAGTGGAGATAAAGGGGACTGAAATGAACTAAAACAGCACTGACATCTTCGTTCTGTCTGATTTGTGCAGGTATGATCGAACACGGCCTGGTGGACTCATCTCACTACAGGCCCAAGAGCAGCGTGTCAGAGGAACTGAGTCTGGTGGAGAGCGTCTCAGGAGCCGAGGAGTTCGTGTCCGTGTCCGTCACCGACATCGCCAACACCACGCTGGAGGGAGAGGAGACCGCCCAGCCAGCCGTGGAATCTCTGTCCTCCGGGAACAGCGGGGAGGGAGACAACCACCTCCTCAAACCGCCGTCGCGCACCTCCCCAGACTCCTCCGAGAGCGACTGGGAGACTCTGGACCCCAGCGTGTTAGAGGAGAATGGCTCTAAAGAGGCAGCTGAGGGGAAGGAGACGGAGTCGGAGCTCCCAGACGCCTTCGACTCCAAGCCGGGGACGCCCATCACTGTGCAGCCGCAGGCCGCCAGCGGTCAGGGAGCTGTCGTCCAGGGTCTGGTGTCCGGTCTGGAGGAGGATCAGTACGGCCTGCCGCTCCCCATCTTCACTAAGGTAACACTCACTCGCCTGTATAATACTAATAATTCATAATACTTGGAGAGAGATCCATCATAAAGCCACACGGACTGATAATGAGATCTGGTTTAGTTTTTTATCTGACATTAGAGAGACAACACAACACATCTATAAATGTGTAGTTCAAGGCGACCCGGACCTCAATAAATCAATAAAAGTAATAGAACTACAATATGTTTGATTCCTCAAAACATATTCAGGAACAAGGAAGTCACCTCGTAAATTTAACTCACATTTCAAACGGCAAAGAAGAGATTTTGGTCGTAAAACTGTGAATGTGAAGGTGAAACTGTGAATGTTTTGCAGACACCAGTTAATAAAAGATCAATATTAGTTTATAACTAACCAAATAAGTTAATATTACTTCAGATTTAACACTTTAAACAGCTTCTCCTTTGTCCTGTGTGTGTGTGTGTCTGATAAACACACTGACCTTTGCCTCTGGTTCCCAGGGTTACCTGTGTCTGCCCTACATGGCCCTGCAGCAGCATCACCTCCTGTCAGACGTGACGGTGCGTGGCTTCGTTGCCGGGGCGACCAACATCCTCTTCCGCCAGCAGAGGCACCTCAGTGATGCCGTTGTTGACGTACGTATAGAATATTTGATTTTGATGGAAAAATTTAGATATTGTGGGCTTTAAATTTAACTTTAAAGTCTATTTTTAATGTTAAATACTGTATATTTTGTGTTGTAGGTGGAGGAAGCTGGCGTGCATATTCAGGACCCCGAGCTCCGGAAGATCCTGAGCCTGACGACGGCAGACCTGCGTTTCGCTGACTACCTGGTCAAACACGTGACGGAGAACCGCGACGACGTTTTCCTGGATGGGACGGGCTGGGAGGGCGGAGACGAGTGGATCAGAGCCCAGTTCACCCTCTACCTCCACTCCTTACTGTCCTCTGCACTACAACAAGGTGGGAACACTCGTTGTGCCGCTCTTTCCTTCCCTCTCGCTTCCTAATTAAGGGGCTTATTTTAACTCACCCGTTAATCCAGAGCACCTGCAGGCTTTAGAAAGTTCAGTTAATCTTCAAATAATCTAAATTTAAGTAAAATCTCCTTTGTTTTTACCTCATAATGATGTTCACACTTCATGTCATTAGAAGACCAAACATACATATTTCATCTGCTGCATTTCCAAAGCATTAATATGTTTATAGGTTGATTTCCCATCTTCCCATATTTTTACTACTTTTTTTGAGATACATAATCTTACTTTACATAAATGTTGGTGTTGATAATTTGATGAACGTCCATCTTCCTGCATTCATTCTCTTTTGTAACATGTAGTTTATTAATGTAAAGTTTTTCACAATCCATATATGGGTCCTTTTAAAAGCTGCTTTATAAATGAAAAGTTATAATTATTGAAATTTTAAAAGTGTACCGCAGTGAGGAACTGGAGGATGGACTAAGCTACTTTACACATTCCACATTAATATTGTATTTTCTGCTGTAAAGAGCGTGTAATGTTCAGAGGCATTACTAATTACCGGTATGATTGCGGCTGTAATGGTTGCGTCATGTGCAGCCATCATCACACGTAATTGACTCTGTTGAGAAAATGACAGTAAATCCAGTTACGCTCTTCTCTCTCGTTTTCTTGTTTCCGTTCAGATAACGAGAGGCTGCTGGCTGATTACGGCGCGCCTTTTGTCACAGCCTGGAAGATCACACACAACTACCGGGTGTGGTACAGCAACAAGCACCCCGCCATGGCCGCCATCACCCCAGGGTAGGTGGACAGGAGGAGACACTGACCACTGAAGGGAACCAGAGAGATCTCTAAAGTCAAAAGAGTTTTATTTGAATAGAAAGTCTTCATGACACTTGTTACCAAATGTCTGGTACTTTATTTGACAAAAGTGTTGCAATGAGTTGACTCAAAGATTAAAAACAAAACAGCTATTCATTACAACCAGTGAATTCCTCTGGTTGTCACATTTGGATGTAAACATTGTGGTTAAAGATAAAGAAATAAAACGGACGTCAGCATGCAAAACATGAGAAATTACTGTAATTGTGTCACAGGAAATACACAGTGTGTTCAATCGATGGCTTTTACAGGGTTTCTGCAGGTTTCACCAGGTTAAGACCTTTTTAAGACCATTATGAAGGCAATTTAAGACATTTTACATCCATACTGGCAAAGAAAAAGTACAAAGAGTATAAAGAAAAATCTGTATTGGTTCCATGTTGGTTCATTTTGTCAGGATCAGAACAGGATCGATATAGATATTTCCCAAAAAACACAGGTTTTAAGGCCAAGATTGTTGGATCCTGTTTTAAATGTTTTAAAGTAGCAAATACATTTTAAAATCATTCATCGTCCACCTCTTGTTGTCACTAGAGGAAGTGACCTGACTAATTTGTTCTTGTGGAAAACACAGACCTTTGACAGGAGTTTGATCGAAAAGTTTAAAGGTTTAAAACATGGTGCTCACTCACTGGTTAAGAGCAACAACAAACAAACTTTTGATCGCTTGGATTTATCATCCAGACTTGTGTATTAGAAAAACAAATCTCAAATCCTAATTCTAGGTGTTTGCTGATAGATAATCTGCTACATATTGTTAATGTGTGATCTCTGTGGCTCTTTTTTTGTTTTAGACACCCGTTCCAGGGCCAGTACAGCGTTGCTGATGTGAAACTACGACTCTCACAGTGAGTACTACACTACTACTAATTCTGCTTACATGGGGCTTTATATTCACTGTAGTGGAAATCTGTCTTTGACTACACCTCAGCAGCATAAAATACTGCAACCTTAAGACACAGAGCATCAGAAACAACAGCATGTGAGAAGAGCAGGACACACTGGCAGAGCTGTGACCTATTTGTTTTCCTTCTTCGTATTGGATGATTTGCTGCAGCTCAGTCGATGTAGTGCTCACCAAAACATGCGTGTTGCTGCCCTCTCGTGGTGACAAGATGCCAGTAAACGTGACACTGGAAAGAAGATATTTGGCAGGTTTATCAGTAAAAGAAAATGTGGCTTTCACTTCATTCCAGTGTCACTTAAAAAATATTTAAAAAAAAGTTACTGTAAAATATTTTAATTAGTTGTAAATCCTGTTTTTCTGCTATCAACTTTGCTGTCAGACACCTGTGCTTTTACTTTGAAGGAGCCGGCATCCTCAGTGTGTCCTGATCTGAGACAGTTTAATTCATTCCTGTTTTGTTTTTGGACATAAATATGTGGAAATATCTTTTATCTGATTTTGTCTGTTAAAACACTTCTGCACCCCTTAAATATCTGTTAAAATATTAACAATACAGTTCAGCTGTGTTTTCTGTTGATTCATGCGTGAGTCTTCATTTGAGAACAAGAATTAAGCTTTTTAAGAGCAGAAATTAATTTTTGTCCTATACTTGAGGATTATTAGTCTCTGTACTTTCAAAATAAAAGACTGGAGAAAGATTTAAACTGGGAAAAACTTATTTTAACACTGGTGTTCTTAAAATAAAACAGTAAATAAAGAAAGAAAAAGTCACTTAAATAGTTTTTTAAGTTGATACCTTACTGCTGCTGTCTTGTCTAAACTCTTTTTAGACCACTAATGATTAAATTTCCAAACGTTGTCTCTCTCAGTGCACTCTAACACGCAACTGTGAATACTTTATGGATACTTCATGTCACAGAGAGCAGCAGGCAGTTACTACATGCTGTGTTTGTGTGGTGGATGTAGCAGCTGACTGGACTCATGTTGAAGGTGGGGGTTTGTGGTTTTGTGGCAGCACCTCGGGATGGCAGGGGGGGCGGCGGCGGGTGGTTGGGGGGTCTCATATCAGCTGAAGTCATTAATTATGAGCGAGTTTCATTCTCAAAAACAGAGCTGGAGACTTCTTCAGCTTCAGCTCCGGTTTCATTCCCTCAGAGTGTGGATGAAAGGCGACTCCGACCACAGCTGGAGTGCCGCTTCTCGTGTTACGCGTCAGATAAATGCCCCCACCACACACACACACACACACACACAGAGGACTGAGTGTGCCTCCATCCCTGACTTAGCTTTACGGCGAGGACGTGGGCAGATCTGTTTGGCTGTGATACTCGGAGCTCTCACTTTACCTCCGGGTGTTCAGTGACATGGCCGCTGTGAACTTTGTTGTAAATCTCCAGTAAACAAACACAGAAAAAAAACAACTGTAGTTTAGTGTATCTGAAAGTAAATCCGAAATTGAGTAAATTCTGTGTTAAAATCCCCCAAAAAATTGAGCCACACATGATGAATATTAAGGTTTATTCAGCACTTTTAATAACAGTTTCAATACATTGTTGATACATTCAGAAACACTTTTTATTTTTATAATCACAACAGAAATATTCAAGATGCTAATTTTACATTTAATTGCAACTATCCCATCACCCCCTAGTCTACACATGGCAACATTATATTTAACAACCAGTGCAACCCTCCACAGGTTTGCTGTGTGCAAAAAAAACAAACACAAAATTTATTTTATTTTCTTTATTTATTCATAAATTTTCCCCATGTACGAACAATATTTAAATACTGTTCTTAAAGCTAGATTTTTTGCCTTCTATAACTCACTCCTTAATGGTGAAGTAACAACGCAGGGCTTGTCCTTCAACCTTGAACATTGCAGTTTGATATTGTGTGTAGAGCCGAAACAATTAGCTGATTGAAAATAACAGAAATTAATCACCATTTTTAAAGCAAAAATTGGAAAAATTCCACTTTTTCAAATGTAAAAAATTACATGTTTTCTCCTATGACAAGGAAAATATCCAAAATATCTTCAGATTTTTGACTGTTAGTCCAACAAAAAAAGGAATTTGAATATGAAATCTTGGACTCTCTATCAAACGATTAATCAAAGAATCAGCAGGTTATTCAATAATGACAATTATCATTTTTTTTAGCTCTGATTGTGTTTTTAAAGGACCAGAGTGAAGGATTTATTTAATCTAGCAGTGCAGTTGCAGATTGCAACCATTTGAATACAGCTCAGCCTTACTTTAAGTGTTTAGGAGAAACTACGGTGGCTGTGAAGCTTGCAAAATTCTCTATCTAGAGACACTTTGTCTGTTCTGGGCTACTGTACAAACATGGTGGGCTCTACAGAAGAGGGCCAACCTCCTCTGTAGATAAAAACTCATTCTAAGGTAACAAAAACACAAAGATTTTATTAAAACATACCCATGAATATTATGTTCCATGTATGCCAACTGATCCTCCTCAATGTTACACACTGGACCCGTAATGGTGCATAAACAAAAAGCACACAAACGTAAATGAATGAATGAACTAGGAACCACCTGACACACCACTGTCGGTAATCCAGCCTCGACTGCGATCCTTACACTTGTCAGATCTCATATGATGGAGCGATGAGATTCCTTGTCTTATTAGAGGATTTGAAAAGTGTTGACGGGGTCAGAGCATGGTGTGTGTTTATGGACCGGGAGTGGGTTGAAGGGGCACGGTTGGCCCTCGCTGCACTATAAAACTCTTGATATAGCAGGCATGGTGGTGTTGGGGTGGGGGGGTGGGGGTGATGTGGGGGTTCAGGCAGGAGGTTTGGCACTCGGCCATCGGATCTTCTCAGGAATAAACGTGGCTCTAAAACAGGAGGGGATTCAGCCGGTCTGGAAAAGTGTGTATGTGTGTGTGTTTTCCTACATGTGTTCCCTAAGCGGAGACGCGAGAGCACGGCGGCAGATAAACAGCTCAGACTCCACCGCAACCTTGAACACCAGAGACGAGTGTTTATTGAGTGTCAGAAGCTTCGAGCCTCGCAGACGTCTCTGAGGGATGTTGAAATCCTCCTCACCCAGACAAAAACTAAACACACTGCGTCAATGATAGAAACATACGGATGTGGCTTTCTTAAATCAGATCTGCTTTGTCTTAGTAGACATGTTGAACTACATGGTTCAGCTTTCTGATTCTGCTAATGTGACAGCTGACATGTGACATACTGTAAAAGGATAACCAACCTGCTTCTACAAGCTGTTATTGGCTGGTTTAATCACATTAATGAACAGGCCATAGTGTGATAAATGACTACTGGAATCAGAATAAGGCTGCAGTAGGCAATATTATTCTATCGTAATGTTGACCTTTGCATGCCACTAACTGTGAGATAAAAGTGGACCTGTGACATCCGACACTTTGTATTGAATCAAACAACCAATCAGAGTTAGCTGGCATGTAATTAGCCAATCACAGCGACTCCGTAAAAACAGATTCTTCTTTCCACCAAATTATCTCTGGTTCTTGCCCTTTTTAGTGGATCCATTTTAATCAAGTTGTCATAATGCACAACAACCTGTAGAATATGACTTTGATTCCCAATGAAAACCAGCTGGGAACCAACTTTTCAGGCTCCGAACTAATTTATTTTTGGTCGAAATGCTCCGAATGGTTTAAAAATAGGTGCACAAACCGGAACGGAGCTAGTTCTCTGTTGGTGGGAAAGGCCTATGCTAGGCTTGGCGTGCAGAAGTTGTGTCAAGAGCGGTGGCAACTTGTGATAAATGCCTAGAACAAAGCAACAGTACTTAAGGCCCTGTGTCCACATACGGCTCCTTTTCAGGCAACCAATCATATATTAGATGGCGGACTAGTAACCGGGAAAATGGAGGAGAAGGTTCTGGTCGTATCTGTCAATTCTGAACTTTATGATACGTCAGACAGCAACTATCACAACAGAGAAAAACAAATGCTGAGAGATCTCTACCACATTTTATTGTCCAATTTCTGATATTGATATTAAACTCTGATCAAAATACATCCTGAGCTGATCATTTTACAGGTAAAAACCCCCCACTGGTCAGCGCTCTCTGGTGGACAAACTCTGTAATGGTGACAGTGTTTCTAATATATTTGGTTCTGCAGTTTCATGCTGTTTGTCAGCTAGCACACAGTATACATCTAACCCAGTATGTCCACTTTCTGAGCATCTTATCACCTGGGTCCTTGCTTAACCTCGGCCCCTCCTGCTCCCCTCCACTGAGATTAGATTAACAATGTGTTTTTCTTTTTTGTGTGTCCGAGCCCACAGCGTTGCCTCGTCGCCTCTCTCGTCTGTTTTCCTGCATCAGTAAACATGGAGCGGTTTTCCTGCAACTTGAGGCTGGATGACGTGCGGGGTTAGGGGTAGGGGGGCAAACTGGGGTTAGTGGGACAGACTGGTTTGATGTTATCCCACTTGTCAGATTGCTGGTTGAGAACGTAAAAGAGGAAAGTCCATCCACTCTGCTCAGCTCATCAGTCTTTGTCCCACTGATGGCCTGTCGCCTCCGCTCGAGTTATACATTTAAAAACTAGCCCCTACGCATCCTTCCAAATGTGCTGTGTTGCATGTGTATTATGGAGGCACTGTGGGGCGAACACAGCCGACCCTTTTCATGTGTCCCCCGTCATCAGCGTCGGACAAAGAGCAGCCGGTGGCAGAGATGTTCTCTCAGAAAACAAGAGTCATGTGACGAGCTGCACGGCTGCAGGCGGACACTCGCTGTTAGAGGATCTTTCTTTATTGTCAGCGAACCACACTGCGCCGCATAAGGAGCTGTTTATTTGGGTCAGCCGGCGAGATGGAGAGTCCGCCGTGTGTCCGCCGGGGCTCCTCTCTGAGCTAACAGTGTGCACAGTAGCTCAGGGGAAACACTGATGTTATCATGAGATTGTTGGGTGGTAGTAATAAAGTTAAAATGTGATCATTTTCCACCCACGTTTCCACTCAACAGCTTCAACTTTATGAGCATTTCTTCCACGCTTGAGTCTGTCACACTTCAAAAAAATACATGAACTGTGCTAATGCTCAGAGAAAAAGCTACTGCCGTCAGAATAAATACAAAAACCTACACCCAGTGGCTTCAAACTGAATGACAAAAACAGCTTAAGCCTCTCAGCACTGCTGGGAATGCACAACAGCGGGTCTCTTACTTTGAAAATAAAGACAAAAGGAAGTTGGCACAGCGAGGACAGATTCCTGGTGGATGTGCAGCCGTGGGAGCTGCTGGATTATTGATCCTAGCAACAAGCGCCTAGCAACCGCAGCTTGTTTTGTGGATCCACTCGGTGTCCCGTGAGTGACAGGACACCACAGGACTTCCGCCACCGGCTCCGAGACGCCACAGAGGCAGCGAGTCACGGTGCCAGTTCACGCTCCGCCGGGCCCGTTGTGCACAGAGCGGTGTCATGTTGGTGCTGTAGTCAGATAAACACTGTGTGTGTGTGTGTGTGGGAATGACAGCAGTTATTCCCACACACACACACACGTCTCACTTTCTCTTTGGTTTTAGGTTTCATTCACAGACTTTATGTGCTGAAGATCTCCTTTAGATCACTTTTCATGTCATTTCAGTCTCCCTTTTTACGTCTCCTCAGATTGATGCTGCTCTTTTTTTTTATGTCCAGTACAGAAAATTGCGCTGAAACCTTCAATTAATTCATATTTTTTTGTTTGGTCTATCATTATCTCTTCCTATCTTTTTGTTTGTAGAATGTCTTACTTGATTTTGTTATCTAGTTTCCAGCCAATATCGTATATTGGCGTTTACGTCATCCGACATGCTCCAATATGAAAAGGCTTGTCGTTTTTAGTCCTGTTTAGTTAATTTTCTCAGTGTTCGTTCCTAGAATTGGTTGACAGTGTATGTCTGTATGTTAAATTATTTAACATGTTAAAGAATATAGTTATAATATAGTTATTTGTTTAAGAGAGCAGCCTTCTGAGTGCCTTTATATTGGTGCAAAATCGGTTTATTTTGCATTCCAGCTCAAATATTCAATATATCAGCAGCCATATTGATATTCGGTGATGATCAGTCGGGCTCTAACGCACATTGTATTGCCTGTATTTGGAAAGAAATTCCCTAAATAAACAAATGTGACATAATTTTATGTTGATAAGCTCACTGGGCGGTCAGTTAGGGAGAGAAATTGATTTAACTGAATCAGGAAAGAAGTGATTGATTGATTGATTGATTGGACACCTTTAAGTAACCTCAGAAGATGCATCCAGGTTTTCCATATGATTGGATCTCTAGAGGAGCAACTTGTGGTTCACATTTTAAACACGGAGGCATTTTTCCACATTACAAACTGTGTGATGTCTACCGGTGGTTTATTTTCAGATGAAATAATTGGCTCATTAGAGGGCGTGAAGGCCCAGGGTGGCAGCTGCTGACACACATCCACGCCGTCTTTCTAACAGCGCTGCCCCGAATGATGCAGAGGCGAGATTCCTGCTGAATGTCAGGTCAGCTGGGGGGGGTGGGGGGGTGGATCCATGGGGAAAGGTTGCGCATTGGCCTCGCACCAGGCCGCTGGTCAGATGAAGCCAGGCGGGGCCGCATTTAGCCGCGCCGTTTGTTGTGAAACGCAGTCCAACCCGTTTCCGCTCTCAGGTCAGCTCTGATCATCGGATCTTCCACCTGTGACTGCGGCTCAGCCTCTGCTGTTACATAATCCTCCCTAACAGGTCGGCGCAACATTTAGCAGTGGCACTTTTGTGTAGTTTGTTTCCCGGAAAGGAGGAAGAATTCGTACAATGTCACACCGGAGACAGGGAGGCGAGGGGCAGGGGCGTGCATGAGTACATGGTTTATGAACCCTTTGTTTGTTTGTTTCCCCCCCTCCTCCTTTATTTCCACTGCAGCTCGGTGCAGAACAGCGAGAGAGGGAAGAAGATCGGAAACGCCATGATCACCACCAGTCGCAGCATGGTCCAGACGGGGAAGGTAGTGGGTAAGAAAGCTCAGACTTACAGTGTGAAAGCAACCCAAGTTTAACCACAGTAAGACATTCTCTTCATAGTCAGATGAAGCTGTCAGGGTTCCCACGCTTCCTGGAAAATCTGGAAATGTAGACACCTGAAAACTGATTCAAATTTCCAAACATCCTGGAAAAACCTTAACTGTATTCTAGCCCCTCACTTAGATTACCTAAACCTGGGTGAGTATTATGTTGGAAACTAGACTTTTGATAGGATAAGCTGCACACGGGGACACCTCTGGGTTTACCAGATAAAAAAAAAGTAGTCTATCAGAGACAGCAGCTCCGCTCCGCTGACGCCGCAGAGGAAACGTTGGCTGTGGTGAGAACAGCCGAGCGTCCCAAAAATGCTGACCACAATTGTGATCAAGTGCTGCCCTGTATTGTCAAGAAAATCTCCTGGAAAAGCCCTGGAAAAGGGTTTCTAAACAGAGTGGGAGCCCTGTGCTGTAGGAGTCTATTACTGGCACTTTTCTTTACTTCTTTTTTGCAAAATTTTCTTTCTTTTTGTTTAAAATATTGTATAAAACACATCTCGTTAAGGTACATGCATAGATATGGAAGTGTCTTGTTCTCGCTTTGCCTCCACTCTCAGGTCAGTCGGTGGGCGGAGCGTTGACCAGCGCCAAGTCGGCCATGTCTTCCTGGTTCTCCACGCTGGCCCAGCCCGCAGCAGTAACCCCACCGGCCTGCCCGGAGCCCGCCACCGAGGTCAAACCCTGAAACCGAAACCCCCCTCCGGCGGTCGCGTGTCTCTGACCGTCTCCCTCGTCCTCTAAGCTTCTGGCTGAAGGGTCAGAGGAGCGAGAGCTGCTTCGTATGAAGGATGTGAGCAGAGAAATCATCATCTTCAGAATCAACGAGTTTAAAGTCCAAACCATAAAACCTGAGACGCAAACTCGGGACAGGAAGGCAGCGTTATACTAACTGTACAGCCCATATCCACTGTGAGGCAGAGACTGCCGGTGATACCCATCAAAACCCAGAAAATACAGCGGGCTGCATCCTGTCTGTCTGTCTGTCTGTCTCTGCTGCCGTTTGTATTGCTGGATGCTTTCCTGTGAGACACTAAAGATGCTGTCGTTGGGTTTGCGGTGTTCACTCTTTTGCTGCATATTTCTAGAGTTTGTCTATATAGCTGATTATTTTGCTGAGAAATTATGTTTAAAATAAATAAATAATGCATAAATAATAAATAAATCCACGTCGCAGGATTTTGACAGGACAGCATGAGCTGTGGCACCTTGAAGATTTTAACAGTTTTTAAATTAGCTCATGTTCAGTGATGCCTCTGTAGTAACATTGGGGTTGTCGTGGTAACAGCGTGAATTCTTCTGTGGGTTATTTTTATGTATATAAATATACAATATGTATCTATGGAGCCCTGAAACTGACAAAAAGTAATCAAAGTCAGTCCCTCCTCACGCCAGTTTAACCAATTTTTATCTAATGGCTGCAACTTTTCTGCACGAAATAGTGAATCCTACGTCATTAAACTCACTTCCTTGTCTCTAGATGTGAGTTTAACACAAATGTCTCATAATAATAATCATAATCGTGAGCCTTTTTTTGGTAAAAATATGTCTAAAAACTGTAAAAATGCATCGCAATTTGTTCGAAAAGCTGCCATGAAATCAGCCATTTTAGGCCGCAACAATAATAGTAAGTGTAAACGAACATAAAACACGTCGTACTCTTCCTTCAACCTCCAATAATTTAGTTAATACAGGAGTAGATCAAGATGTCAACAAAACTGGCTAATGCTACTTCAGGTATAAGAAAAGAGACAAGTAGTGCTAGTTGGTGTTAGCTTGCTGGCTCAAAATATTGAGCTGCTGTTAGAGTTACAGTCATTACCTGCTATTAGTGTTATCTAGTAAGCAACACTGATAAAATGTGAAGAGGAAAATTAAAAATGTTGCACAGGAAAGAAAGATAATTGATTTAAATGTATTCCCAGAGTAAAATAAATTAGTTTAATCAACTGTTTGCTAGTAACGGAAAGAAAATGTCATTTATTTTGCTGTTTTTACCAACAGATTGGAGCTTAAAGGAAAAGTACAAAGGTTTATATTTCCTTTTACACTTTATTTTAAGTATTTAATTAACAGTATTATTTATTGATATGATCATGCCACAGTTTCTGGGCTCCGTAGACGTCTTTATATTACTTGTTTTGTTCAACCCAACGGCCCAAAATCACTAAAATGTTGAATTTTAAACTGAATGTTTGGCATTTTTCATGATAAATAACCTAAAATGTGAAAATTAAACAGATTACTTCACTAATTATTAAAGCTCTGAATCTGAATGCTGTTACTACAATAACCACAATGTTACTACAATCCTTTTGTACCTAATGCCTGATTTTGTGCCCTGATAAACGTGATAAAAACCTCCCTAAACTATGAAGGAAACCTGCACCCAGCTGTGTCTGACAGGGTGTCAGTAACCCTCACCCAGGCCTTTTTGTACGGTCAGAATATATATTGGGAGAACTATATTTAGTGAATCTGAAGATAGTTTAAAAATATATCTTATTTATTTGTTGTGTATAAACGTGTAATCTCATAAATATCCATGTTTTTGTCATGACAACACTGGATCAAGTCCTAATCTGCGGACCACTGTGTGTATTTGCACAAAGCAGCCATTGTATTCTATTTATGTGACTCTTTATCTTGTTATAACTGTAATTTTGAGGTGCTTACAAGATCTTGTTTCCCTCCATGCTACAAATATTCGACAACAGTTGGATTAAAAGTGGTCCAGTGAGCATGCTCTGTCCAGTCCAGTTTTACAGCTGTAATGAGTGTTTCATCCTCCTGTCTTTAAAACTCTTTTAGTATCTGTTCTTTATTTCGTTTTCACGCTTTTAAAACCTTCTTTGGACATCGACTCATTTTCTTTTTTTGATTTCTGGATTAAGTTTAAGAAAATATCGGCTGTCAAAAGCTGCTTTTTGTTTCTTTTCTTTCTTTTTTTTATCCTCTGATGACTATATTTTCATTTTGTATAAAAAAAAAAAAAAGATATGAATGTATTGGTGAACTAAAATTCACAGAATATTTTCTTGACAATGCTTTTAATGTATTTGAGAAGAAAGTGATACTCTCTACTATATTGCTGTATTAAAAATATAATAAAAATACACCGCAGACTTTTTATTTTTAGCGAACTACACTGGAACATTTCTTCTATCCCTCTGGGTTTGTGTGTCTCGGTACAAATGTAGGTCAGCCAAACAAAGTGGTGGCCTGTGTGTGTTTGTAGAGAGGGTTGTTGTTGTGGTGAAAGCACGTGGCCGGACAAAAACGCACCCATGTGCTGTCCGACAACAATTCTGTGGTGGTGGCATCACAGGGACACGTGAACCCAGCGACCTTAAGCGATTCACACCCAGTAATCCTGACTGACTGCCAGTGCATATTTTCATTTCTTTGAAAACAGATCAGTTTCTTACTTCTGTCTCATGAGAAAGTCAAAAAAATGTTCAATTTTGGACCATTATTAATGCAGTTTAAGGTCTATTTCATGTCACAATAGCAGACTTTTTAACTTCAATACAATACTTTTATAGAAAAACAATACTAAATACCTCTTTTAATACCACAATACAAAGAAAACAAAGTCATTTTTCACTTTTGTGGGGGGAAATTAAGCTGCAAACAGTGCTGGGAAAGCAAAATGAGTGAACACACTGAGGTGAAGTTAAAGTTCTCTGCAGCCTTCAGTTTGTTTTCTAGCTTTGGTGCTTTTAATACTGTTGATTGATCATATTGTATCATTTTAAATAGGTGACAACCTCACAAAGGATAC